AAAAAAATTTTTTTTTTTTAATTTCAGCTAGTTTACAAAAAAGACTTACTTTTTTTTCAGAAAATTTCTAATTTTCATTTTGTTTATCTTGATGTACTAAAATAACTCAAACTAAAACTGAAATAATAAATGCAAACTATATAGACATATTTATATAAAAAAACTAAACTAATAAAAATGACAAAAACAACAAAATTACTAAAACTTTAAAAGTAAAATAATAACTGAAAATAGAAAAATAAAAACAAAATAGAAAATATTAATAATAGTAATATCTCAATGATACTTGTAACAGTGCCTCTTTATAAAAGTGGACACCTTTTGTCTACAGGCTGGGTTTGGTTATGGTTTGCCCATTTCTCGACTCTATGCCAAGTACTTCCAGGGTGATCTTCAGCTGTACTCTATGGAGGGCCATGGCACTGATGCAGTCATTCACCTGAAGGTACATTTTAACCCTACTTAAAAAGGGATAGTTCACCCAAAAATGAAAATAGAAATTTCTGTAAATTATTATTATTTTTTTTTCTTTCAGAAAATGTAAATTCTGTCATTTACATCATTCTATTATTTATGTTGTTCCAAACCTGCATGCCTTTCTTTCTTTTGTGGTACGTAAAAGAAAATATTTTGAAGAATGTTTCAAATCATTTTGTCCATGCAGTGGAAATCAGTGGGGTCTAGTGTTGTTTTATCCCATTGGCAGATTTGGAACTATAGACCTTAGTCAGGTTGTGTGCCATATTGAATTTTACAAAGATGAAAACAAGACCGAGAGGGATAAACGTGCAATCTTTACAATGGCATGCGCTGTATAAAGGTCCACAATTATGTAATTTTCACAACTCACAACTTTCAAAAGTGTTTTGTGGGGTTCTTGTCTATTGAAAGTTATTTTCAGAAATATGATTCATCAGCTGAACAATTGGATGTTGTTAAACAACAGTACAATCCACTTAATTCTGCCCACTACAGCCTTGTTTCCATTCTTGTCAGAAATTAAACATGGCACCACCCTAAGGTTTATTCCTTGAAAATCTTCGCTACACATTTTTTTTTTTTTATGTTTTAAAAACGCTGGAAACTTGTTGTAAATGAAAGAATACTTTGCGTTGTGTTCTAACAGATGACATCATGTGTTTTTCCCCTCAGGCTTTATCCACGGACTCAGTCGAGAGACTCCCAGTGTTTAATAAGACAGCTCGACGGAACTATGAAGTCACGCAGGGGGCAGATGACTGGTGTGTCCCCAGTCGAGAACCTCTGGATCTGGCCGTGTTCAGACTGGCCAAGTGAAAAGGAGCAGCCTCCAGGAAGGATATAGGACAGTTCTATGACATAGTGAACGGGGTTGGCCATAGTGTCTACATGGCTGAGTCCCAGCTCACCACTCACTGTGATGCCTCAGCAATACCTTAGGTATCGCATGTGGTTGGTTTTCCTCTGAACCATGACTGTTTCATTCGCCTTTTTTTCGGTTTGAGAAACTAGGCTCTGTCACAGTGTTACCTGCAAACCTTACTGACTCATATGAAGTGGTACAAAGTGCCAAGTTAATCTGCACTGAATTGCTCTTCCTTTATTGGAAGACTGTTAAGTGGAAGTTCCAGTGTGGCGAAGTGAGCCATACGGACAATTTACAGAGGTCCTGCTCACTGCATTAGAGGAAAGGGCCATTTAGACTAGTGGAACCAGCACAGAACAACAGGCTTGTGCCAAGACATTTAAGAACACATGAATTCAGAGATCAAGGGCCAGGATCGAGTGATAAAACCAATATGCATCCCATGATGGACTATTTATGTTAAAGTCTACTAGAAGAGCACGTTGCACTGCATTAGTAATGCTGAAATCAAGGAACACAACATAACTTTGATTGCTGCTGTAGGAGTATTCCTATTCAGAATGGCCAGAAGAGAAAGAGATCATTGGAGGCCATAATTGTGACTGTATGAGTGTGTGGCCAAATATGTCAATTTGATCTCTGGCCTTTTCCTTATACTACAGTTTAAGGCACTAGAAGGGGATCATAGATGTAAATGTGTTCAGAAGCAGTTAGAATGTACCAGTCATCTCATTGATTTAAACTTGAAATACTTACAATTTATATGCACCTAGCATTTCAAACACAGTGTTTTGTGCATGTTTATTCTTAAACATGCGGAAGCATTTTGGATACCTCATTGACTGACGTTAGTTTGCGAACTCAACAACCTTTGCTCAGCTGTTGGCTTTTTCAGTTTTGTGGGCCTGTGGCCACTAGTTCTCTGCGAATATTATACAGCATGAAATCAGAGCTTCTAATTTTAAGCCATCTCCTTTGAGAGCATGCCTATACTGTATTAAACCAACCATCTGCTTTGAACTTGAACTGTACAACCTTACATGTAAGGACCATATTTTGTGTATTTATATT